TGTATAATGTCATGTACCATATGTTATAACAAAAGTGAAAAAAATGGTCTTTGTAGACCAGGCAGAAAAATGTCAAACCCAATGCCTTTTAGTTATTTTGGTATGTGGGAAGATTGTGCATAAAGTTCCTTTTAGCTCCATGCTTGAGCTAGAAAGGCTACTACTGCTGAAGGTCATCTTGGAAAGGCCACTCTCAATATAGAAAAACAGAGAGAACCATCCTATGTTTCAGCAAGGATTTGAGAAAGACCCAAATCTCATATAATGACTACTGCTCATTTTATATATATATGTGTGTGTGTGTGTGTGTGTGTGTGTGTATGTATACATATATAATGTCTCTGCCCTGTGACTTCCTATAAGTCTCTCTCATTTATGCATTGGTCAAATTTACAACTTTAGATTATTCATTTAATTTTACTGCTTAAAATTATAATAGACTAAGACAGATATAGAAGCTACTTCTTTATACTAGAAATTAATTTCATAGGTGTTAATATTGACCAATATTTGGAATATATAATTTACAAAGCATATATAATACCTAAAAAATACTAAAGCTAATATAGTGCACCTTTACAATATTTATTTAGCTTGCTATCTAAAATTCTGGTTTATTTGAACTTTTTGTACAAGAGCTTTTATCAACCTTTCCTTGATTGTTGCACAGTGCAAGGGAAATCCAAATGGATGTATCTTCATTTTTATTCAATCTTTCCTGTACCTGTTCTTTGTAGAGGAAGGATCTTATGGCAATTCTGTAGATTCGACATGGTTACTTACAATCAATTGTGATATTTTTGTTGTGTTATAAAATATTTCCCCATAGTAAACATTCATATTGATAAAAGCAAAATCAAGAAGTATATTAACTATAGGATTCACTATGCTAATATTTATGATCACCTTTACTTCCAAAAAACAAACAAAAAATCTCATTCTTTTTACTTCATTTGGCCCTCTTCTTCAGCCATACCTAGTAAAGCCTTGCTCAGTGACCCTCACTTAACTCAGCCCTTGAAGCAGAGAAGGAAGTTGCTTGTACTTCTGGATTTTGTAAGATATTAGGTCATGCATGTTGCCCACAACAAAGGAACTTCTGAGTGTGAAACCACAAAGCTAATATCAATCTCAGCCCCATGTCCTCCAGGGAAGAAGAGGCAGGGACCTGCACAGATTGATTCATCACTAACCTGAGATAAAATGGTATTCTCTTCCAATCCGTCGATTTCTCAAAGACAGGCAGTGTTTCCTTCTGTGTTCATGAACTTCAGGCCATGGTGGGAGAAAAAAAGCTTTCCTAACTGTACTCATTATTCTTCTCTAAACATTCAATACTATAGTTCGGGAGTCCGATTATATTGAACTTTGCTTTAAATATCTGTTTTTCCATTCAATGGTGATTTTGAGTAGTTTGAGTTCCTTTCCCAGCCCTGGCGGATCCGTGTAAGGGTCTTGTCTATGCATGGCATGATTAGGATAGACTTGATCACCAGCACAGTGCAAGGAATGATGAGTGCTAACACGTAGGCTGAAGGAAGATACCATCTCAGAACTGAAGGGCTGAGGAATCTCTTTCCACCATACACCAGGGTGTGGGCTGTGCACAAGATCAGGGTCAAATAACCCAGTTTGGACTAGAAACAAGAAACAAAAATATGTACATTAACATTATCTTAAAGTGAAACACTGCAAACCAATGAAGGATATTTGTCAAAAACCACAAACCTTTGAAGCCTATACTTAGGATACTCTGCTAAGTACTGAAAATAGTATTAACCCTCCTTTAGGATGGTAAATATTTCATTTTTTTAAAAAAGACCGTTGTTTACAAGTGACATGGTAGCTTCATCTTAACCTGGCTGGATGGAAAAGTTTCTCAGGAGTAAGCTCGTCTGAGTTAGAATAAATAACGTACCTTGCCTTGGTCCCCAATGGCAAAACTCTTTTATTTATCATCTTTCTAGAGGTTAGAGATAAATAAGACAAAGTATGACCTTAAGAAACACTGCATAAGTATATGTTGCTGACTACAAGCAGATGCTAGCTAATTTCTATCACAATAAAGAGCAATCAGCAAACTTTACTTTGTTTTGGCCTAAATTTTAAAGCTCAATGTTTATTTCTGTCTTAATGCCTTGAATAAAGGTGTTAGCATGAGAAATTGTTGACTGCATTTGGTCCCTGGGAGAAACTGCAAGAGGAAATTCAAATATTAAATAGTTCTATAACATTCAAACCTAACTTCAAAGACTAATGGTCTATTCTGTATTATACCAGTTCACAATAAGCATGCAGCAGAATCATCTGGAGAGCTTGTTCAAACAAATTGCTTGGCCACACCTCCAGAGGTTCTGACTCAGTGAGTCTGGGTGTGGCCTATGACTTTGTGTATCTAACAAGTTCCCAGATAATGTTGATGCTGCTGGCTCTGGCGCCATGCTTTTGAGGACCACTGGTTTACAAGAATACGTAGTTGCTAACTGCCTTTAATAAGGTGTCTCGTGGTTGATATGTGGAAAAAACCAATTTTCCGTCTTATAGACCAGCATTAAGTCTGGTGTGATGACCTCTATCAAACCTTGCTTCAAAGGTTTTAAACTTTATTTCGATATTTGCTTTTCAATAATAATATGTCCATATTGTAAGATTAGTTTTCAGAAGGTGAAATTTTGTCTTTGGATTTCTTTTCACCTTGTAGCTAGCACATCTTTACACACATAGTTTAATTGTTCCTGGTGATTTTTACTCTGTAGTCTTAGCTGTGGCTCTGGGAACAGGCAGGAATCTTGGCAAGGAATGCCTTACTAGGAAATCAAACCAACATGGATGCGATCTGCCTGTTTGTACCCAAGTTCAATATTTTCTAATTTGAATTTTTTTATGAGATTGATAAGGAGGTGATGGAGTAAAATGAAAAATTAGGCATGATATGAGAGAAAAATGAGAATATTTATAAAGCCATGCTTATTTTGCAATATAAACAAGAATTAAATCTAGAAGTCTTTACCTGGACAAATCGGAACTCTCTCCAGTTGACAGCGTTGCTAACTGATGGCAAGGAAGTGATTCCCAAGAGTACAAACAGAAAAAATCCAAGGATTCCCAAAGCCACATATGAATCACTGAGCCAGGCAGAAGAGGTACTAAATGGATCCTCTTTCTTGAGTAGTGTCTAAGAAAAATTATAAGCAATTTTTAAAAATTATAATTTTTACAAACTTCCCACACTTTTAAGGGTACTGAAAAATACCTCTATGTGGGTTATTTGCTCAAAGAAAATTGTATGGTGTTTCTAATATACTCAGAAATTATAATTTTTTGGTAGAAAAGTAATTGGTTCTGCTGGGACTTGTAATAGTTGATTCCAGGAATTGTGTAGGAAGTTTAAT